AGATAGTTGTATGTCATAGGTTCACATCCTTCTAGTTGCTGTACGTGGGACTCGGCCTCGCGCTGGACGGAGAAGTGGTGCCTCGGGGCGCTCCCGGGATCCGAACCCGGGCCGCCAGCATCAGAGCGCGCGCACCCAACCGCCAAGCCACGGAGCCGGCCCTATAAATTCATTTTAAAGCTTTTGTTTTTTATTTGTAAAATGCCATATGTGCCTGGCAAATAATAATCAGTGAATATATGTATGTGAGGATGAAAATATCTTCTTTTTTTAAGTGTAAATAATAGCAAAAAATTCTGCACTTTTCTCATTCAAGGGTTGGTAAGTTAAGCTTCCAAAGGAAACTGCTGAGATCCACATTTTTAGATTTTTGGCTTTAGTGTTTGAAATAAGTGACTTTTGTGGTCAAGCCCTGCTCTTAATACTTTGTTTTTAATATTGACTTATACTTATGGAAATTACTTCTTTTTTAGTCACATGTTCACCAAGAACCAAGTAAGAGAATTCCTTCTTGGAGTGGTCGCCCAATCTGGATGGAAAAGATGGTAATGTGCAGAGTAAAGGTTCCACACACATTTGCAGTTCACTCTTATACTCGTCCCACAATATGTCAGTACTGCAAGCGGTTACTGAAAGGCCTCTTTCGCCAAGGAATGCAGTGTAAAGGTAGGATTGGATGTTTTCTTAAGTAAAATTCATATCTGTTTTTGTTAGCAAATATAGGTTTAAAATATTTATATTTTGGAAGCCTTAAGCAAAGAAATTGGTCATAGACGTTAGTTTAAAAAGAAAGAAAATACACATACACGGGTATTTATTAACAACTTCTGCTACTGTCTGCAATATATGTACTGTGTACCAGGAACTATGCTAAAGAAAAATTAGAATATAAACATTTGAAAAATTAGAATTTAGATCTGTGGGGTATAGGTGCCTAACACTTGCCAGTAAGGAATAGTTAGTAAGCAGGTAAGCTGATATTTGAGCTCAAGTCTTTCTGATTCCAGAGCTAGACACTACCAAAATATAAAATAATGCTTTTCTCTTTCCATTAAATATTCATACACATACACACACACACACACAAACATATTACAATAGTTTTGTTGTTTTTATTTTTAATTATGTACCTGAGAGAGCTGTACAAAAACTGTCATTCTGGAGAATAATCACACTGAAATAGGTAGGATAGTAGAATAGATAGATAGGATAGTAGAAGCCACTAGAATTATAATAGGGACCATTCATATTTGGATACTAACTCAGAACACTATCATAGTATTCCAAAAACATCTCAATGAACTAGGTTTTTAATAGAGTAATGAAATAATTTTTCCTATAGTTATATAATGTTTTATGCTTTTTAAAGATGATTTTATCTTTTTTTCTTGTATCTTATCTTCTCTATATCACAATGCTATACGTTAGAGTGAAAACGAAAATAGAGAGTTTAAACGTTATTAGTCATTGAGCCAAGATAAGGTATAAGTAGTCTGTCTGTAATCTTATGTACTTATTTTTCATGTAATTATTTTAACAGTTCTTGGTACCGTACTTTTTTATATAGTAGAAGTATTTCTACAATTCTAATGTTTTATTTTTTATTTTTTAATTTTTTTGTGAGGAAGATCAGCCCTGAGCTAACATCTGACGCCAGTCCTCCTCTTTTTGCCAAGGAGGATTGGCCCTGGGCTAACATCTGTGCCCATCTTCCTCTACTTTTTAAATGGGACGCCACCACAGCATGGCTTGACAAGCAGTGAATCGGTGCACACCCGAGATCTGAACCGCGAACCCTCTGGCCGCCTAAGCGGAGCTCGTGCACTCAACCGCTACGCCACCGGGCCGGCCCTCTAATGTTTTAGAATTGAAGTAAACATTAGAGTTGAGGTCTTTGCAACAATAAATCCTGTTTACAACAATACTGAATCAAATAATTGTGTATAAATTTAACTTAAGTATATTAGAAAAGAAAACTTTTCTTGGCACTATATGGCAACATGGAAGAACCTCAAATAGAGAACAGGTTGTTTGCTGTCAGGTATTGAATAACCATCAGGCAGGCATAATGAAATGTTGAAATTTTATTTCAACGGCTTACTTTTGAATATGAATTAATATATAAACTAATACTTTAAAATATCAACACTAAAGTGTATTGGCAAGAAGCCACTAAGGAATGTTTTGGGAAAGAACATTAATAACAGATGTACAAATTCTAGCCAACAGATAATCTTAGTAAAGATAGTAAATAATGCTGCTCTGCTGTACAGAACAAAAACATTCTAAAACCATATGCAGAAAAATGAGGAACTAAAATAAATATGTAGATTAATGAATTTTGAAATAAAACCAGTTAACTCTACCACTGAATTATTAGTTTAACTTCTTAGAGCTCTAAAAGAATAATGTTTTGTGCTTATATTGGCTTGGAAAATAGCAGGTTATATTTCTTTATAGCTAAGCTATTTTAGTTATCAATCAAAAATAATCATAATTTACTTCAGTGAGTCCTGTATTTTTATAATATGAATTAAGATACTTAAAAAGTAAAATAGTAGGGGGACTGGCCCAGTGGTGCAAGTGGTTAAGTGCACGTGCTCCGCTGCGGCGGCCCAGGGTTTGCTGGTTCAGATCCCTGGCGCACACCGACGCACTGGTTGTCAAGCCGTGCTGTGGCGGCGTACCGTATAAAGTAGAGGAAGATGGGCACGGATGTTAGCTCAGGGCTATTCTT